CTGCGGGAGAAGAAAGGCGGAGGAGAAGGAGGGACAGGAGGAGGGGGGGAAGAGGAGGAGGAGGAGGAGGAGGAGGAGGAGGACGAGGAGGAGGAGGAGGAGGCGGAGGAGGCGGGAAGATGGACCTTTTAGACCTTTTGACCAAGCAAGGAGCTGGAGGGGAGGAAGGAAGGGAGGAAGACGGGGAAAGAGGGGGAGGAGAGCGAAACGACCGCCTGAGCCAAGGAGCCCACCTGCCGCAACAGACAAACAACCTGGATTTGCGCAAACCAGCCTACGACCCAGACGGAAGGGGTGCACTGACCCCGCAGAGGACGCAGCCGCATCACCCGCCTCGGCGGGTAAAACAGGCCCAACCAAGAAGTTGCGAAGATCTAGGGCGCGTTGCAGGACCGCTCTTACCCTTCAACGCCGGGGGAGCAGGCCCGCCTGGATGCTCGACAAATTATCGCGAACCTTGCGTGGGGGGTCACACTTTGCGGCAAGGTGTCTGCCGTCCACTGTGCCGTACTTACACAGAACAATACGTGAGCATATACGTCTCCCAACTCTGCGGCGTGTGAGAGAGAGATGAACAGCGCGGCCGCCTACGAGATCTGCACTCGATCCCGCCGCAGACTCGCCCGACGCATGGGCGCATTTGCAAACAGTGGCGGTCGCGCGGATCGCCCTGGACTGCGGGGCAATCATGGGGCAGCTGCTGCACTTCTACTTCGCCCCACAGCGAACAAAACTGCGCGGGGGCCTCTCCATGGCCAGCTCCGGGGCAGACGTGGCGGGGCCCCGCCCCTGCCGCTGCCGCGCCCCACTCCGTGGACCGGCGGCAGCGGCGAGGGCCAGAGCGCGGCGCGCTCTCGAACGGACCAGGATGGCCACTGTGCCCCGGTGGTCCGCGCGAGGCTCGCCTTGTCGGATAGACTCTTCTCTTCCCTCTGCGCCGCCGCGCCCGCTTCCTCATCGGCCGGGGCGATGCCCTGAATTCGAAACGGGCCCACCTGGGCTGCTCCTCCGGGGGCCCCGCGCAAACGAGAGGGGGCCCATTTCAAGTGCACATCGGTGGCCCGAGATTGGAGCCCAACACGGATCCTGGACCACAAATCGTACCTGGCGCCATTATTCTGGAACTGCGGGCCGCTATTCCACGCCTTGACCAGAGGCTCGCGGCCCGCGACTAACAACACGGCTTGCTGGACATGTTCCAAGGCGAGCGCGAAAGCAAGCAACTCTGAACGAGGGGCAGTTTGTCTCCTCCCCGCGACTGGAGTCGACAAGCCACCCGCAGCCTGCCAGCCCCCTCGGCCGTCGGCCTGCATGGCAATCACCGCCGTTCCGCACCGCCGCCTCGGGCCCGCACTGCGGGCCCCGCGCGACACGCCTCCGAAAATCACCACGCGCCCGAACTCGGGGCGAGGGCGGGTCGACGCGATCGGGACGGGGCAAGGACTTCCAGCTTCTCTTCGGAGCGGCTTGGCGGGCGCGCGAGATCTACGGGCGCAATCCCTCGGGGCCGATGTGCGGGGCGCCGCTCACATTGGGCCGCGGCCTGGCCGGCAAGGGATTAGCTCCCGTCAAACTCGGGGAACCCGGAATTACATGGGCAAGGCCAGACCCGATGGTAAGGAGATCCGGGCCCTTGTCCGCAACGTGGGCATGCCGCCCCAACTCCGCGCCCCAACACGGCATGTCGAGTCCTAATCCACTGGCCGCCTGAGACAACAGCCGTCTGTAAGCCTACTTGGTCGAACTCACTAGCTGCCACGAATCTTTTGACCCCCTCCCAGCCAGCCACAAGTCGCCTCCACCCCGCGCCAAGCCCGATCCCTCATAGCGGTCAGCCGCGCAAACCCAGAGGCGGGGCGACAAGCCCTGGCATAAATCATCGAGCAAGTCACACAAGTCAGCGTCGCCCCCCTAGAATCCAGGCCCATCGGCCGGGGGTGGGGGGCAGACCTCGCTGGAATCCGGGACCGGCCGTCGCCGCGAATACGACGCCGAAGAGATCCACCCGGCCTCGTGCAGGGCGGCAATCGCGGCTCCGAACAGGCCTCGGACCCTGTTCCACCAAGCGGCTTCCTTCCACGACCTGGGAAACAGGAACTCCCAACCACGCCGAATCACCCTGGGACGCAGGTCCGGCGGCGATTTCCAAGCAACAAAAACCCAGGACAAACTGGCGGCGAAGCTCAACCGCGGGGGCGCGTCGACCCAAATGCAGGCAGAAGCACAGCGGCGAGGCATCTACCTGACCCTGTCCCCGCGGCGGCCCGGGCGGCCCGCCCCCGAAACACCCGCGCCGCACTCGGGAACCAGCCGTGCACTCGATGGCCGCGCGCGGCTCGGGGAAGGGCCCCGCGGCCCAGAGGGAGCTCGAAATCTCTGAGAGATTGGCGGGCCGCCACGTCTTCCGCATCGCCTGGAAACGCTCGGTGGCCTTAGCCAACTCATTTTGGCTGCGCTGAACACCCAAAGCTGCATCGCACCTGGAATCCACGGACGAACACGCGGGAGCGAAGGGCACTCCAGCGCGCCGAAACTTCTGGCTAAGACGAAGGCCCAGGTCGTCAGAGGTGGCAAGAGCCACAGTTTTGTCCGAAAAGGTCAAGCTGCGCCCCTGAAGGCCTGCAACAGACGTAGACGACGCGTCTGACAGCACTTGCACCACCTACTCGGCCGTGCCTTCAGCACGGGAAACTGCATCATAGATAGAGGACCACAGCTTGCAAATCGGCACGCCCCGCCGGGCGTTGCCCGAAATCGGAAACAGAAACAAGTGAGCAAGAGGGGGCCCCATGTAAGATCCCGCAACAAGCGACCGAATGGGGTGGATCCCTAGGCTGACTCCTCCAGCACTGCGCAAGTATCTGGGGGCCGAAAATATCTGAGATTCGAGGGCGACGACTAGGGCGGGAAAACCAACGTCTGCCGCGACGCGGATCACTAACACGAGGCTCAGCGAATCATAGAATTTCTCTACGTCCAACAGAACGGTCTCCAGATGGACACCTGCAAGGACGGCTGTTTCGCCCAAAAGGCCGCGGAGGAAGGCCGCCCCGAGGTTGGAGCTGCCTCTCACGGCCGCGTCCCAAAACTGGTCAAGTCCAGAACTCCAGACCTCGATCAAGCCCTCGCGCGCGATGACATTAGAAATCATGCCGATCACGCCATCCCCCGTTTGATTAGGCTTGAGGAAGAATGCACAGATCGCCGCGAAAACCTGCTCTGGCCACAATCCGCAACGCTCGACCCCATTCAAAAGGCACGTTCAATCCGACATCGCCTGTTCCGGAAGCCTCTGAATATCGGCCATGGTGAGATCATCCACTCTGGGAGCCTTCCGGTGAGAACCACGGGGCGCCAGAGAAGCGAACTGTTCAGGAACCAATGGCCCCAGGGGGTCATCACGAGCCCTCCGGAAAGCATCAGAAATAGCAAACCTAATACCGTCAGGGGAGTCCACGGGGTCCAGCCACTTGGCCTGCCAAGTCTGCTGCTTAGCGGCCACGATGGAAGCAGGCTGCGAAATCGCACTGCCCGCCGCGACCGACCCCAAAGGGGTGGCTGGGGCCTGCTTGACGCGGCGATGCAGCTGGCCTGGCTTAGTTTTCCACTGCTCGGTCGCCCGCCTATCAGAAGCTCGGAGAGCATCGGCAAGATTGCGTGCATGCGCACAGGAGGCTAGGCGATCCGCCATTGCTCCAAGATCCCCCAGACTTGCAAGCGACAACGGTCTCGCCATCCTGGTTTAGGTCTCAGCCCACAAATTCGAAGACGTCCGCTGATCGAGCTCCCGATACTGCCGCTGCAACAGAACCGCACAACGCCCCATCTGCCCTGGGTGTTTCCCACTGCGGCGCAGAGAGCAATAACGCTTAAAAAGCGTGTGGGAACTGCCCACCAGTCGGCTGGGCCGCTTCGGAGGCGCGGCCGACCAGGTGTAGCCCGAGACCGAACCCACTCGAGGGCAAAGCCTTGCGCTCGTCCTCGGAAGGGCCCACATTCCTCCTCAGGAACCTGGGAGGCCGACAGGGTGGACACCTCGACCGCAGAGACCCAAGACCCGCAAAGTCGACTCAAATGGACGGGCTCATCAGCGCGGCCCCGATACATAAAATGCTCGATTGGCCGCTGTTGCCTAAGAGGGGATCTGCGCTGCATGGCATTATGCCACAGATCGGGTGACACGAAAAGGGCAGGGCCCTCAACTTCACAAACAAGTGTCTGAAAGGGCAGGGCCCTCAACTTCACAAACAAGTGTCTGATCGAGGGGACGGTTGGCTAGATCGAACGCGCCAAGCAATTCTGGGTCCAGACGGTCGCGACGGCGTTGTCGCAACTCATCTCGCCTCCGCGTCGACTTGGTCGGGTTTGCCCTCCTCTTGGGGCGCTCTACCACTGGCGAGGAACGTGGTAGACGAAGCCGTCGATGCTAGATCTGCTTGTCAGAGCTCTCCACACAATGATGGCGATGCCGCAGTGCGTCTTCCACGGAACCGTCTCCACAGGGGCGAGAGATACCCTGTGCTGCAATCCCTCGCTCATGATGGCGTAGTCGCTCATGGAGCCCTCTTTGCCCTTGTCTCACGTGCTCTGGCACGAAGAAGGACCACCAAGCCCTGTAAGCCCTCATGAACACGTGCCGTCATCAAGTCTAGAGGGGAATGGTTCCAATCTCCCATCACCACCCACGGGTCCGCCAACGCGCGAACGAAGACCGACAACGATCGCAGCGCGGCAGCGTTCAGGCCGCTAGCTATGCCGAACTTCGGAGCCAAATAGGTGCAGATCATGACGAGACTGCCGGTAGCAAGGTGCCAGACGATCGCTGAAAACCCGCGGAAGGGGTCGGGCGCCCCGGCGGCGCGGCACCTGCGAAGGTGCTCGAAAGATGTCGCGGCCACGTGTCTTGACGATGATGGCCTCGCCCGCAGACGCACCCGACTCCGACTTGCCGCTAGCCCGCGCCAGAGTGGAGATCATCCTCCAGCCATCCTTCCTGACAG